AGAATATCTTTTACCCATCCGATAAGTTTATCAACGTTTTTTCAAATAATCAAAAAAAAGATACCCCTTTTATCATTAGAAAAAGATATTTCTAATAAATTGGACAATTTTTGGGTTTCTAGAAACAAACAAAAATTAAATTCTATAAAAATTGATTTGTTAAATCGAATTAAAAATCTTGACAAACCAGTATCAGTCCCAATACTAGAAATTGAAACAACCAAAACGCGATTATGTATACACAATGATGAGACTAGAAAAGAATACTTACCAGAAGAGTATGATCCCTTGTTAAATGGGCCTTCCCGCGGAAGACTAAAAAAAGATATAACGTTGATAAACGAGACTTCGATCAAAAAGTTGAGAGAGAAGGTTATGCTAAATAGACTTCATGCTTTATTGTTGATGTCTCCTTTTGAAAAAAAGGAAAAAAAACCATTACAAGTTGGTGAGTTCTCAACTTTATCATCGAGTTTCAATTTAACGGATTCAGAACAACTAACAAAATTTTTAGTAAATGTAATTGAGACAGACGATAAAAAATATTCTGCAATAGAAAAAATAGGTAAAGAAGAGATTGGTAAAAAAGTCCCCGGATGGTCATACAAATTAATAACTGAATTGGAACAAATATCGTATTTTAGAAATCCACCAGATGATCATGATATTCGTTCAAGAAAAGGGATAAGTGTATTAATTTTTGAAGAGCCTAAGACTCTCAAAGATAAGACTACAAACAAAGATAAGAATACAAAAGAGACAAATATTCAAGCTATAAAATCCGACAATGATGAGAAAGATAAAAATATGAAAAAGAAAAAGGAAGATGAGGATAATAAGCTTTATTTGTTACGATATCCGCACCAATCTGATTTTCGCCAAGGCTTAATAAAAGACTCTATGCGAACTCAAAGACGTAAAATAGTTATTGAGGGACTTTTTAAAGCAAATGCGCATTCCCCTCTCTTTTTTGACAGGATGAGGAAAAAAACCTTTTTTTCTATACCATACCTGGCTCAACTGAAACGACTTTTTATAAAATGGTCATCCAGAAACGAGTTCGGTATTTTAGAGTCTACAGAGGAAAAAAAAACAATAATAAAAAGAGAAACCAAAAAGGAAAAGAAACGACGAGAGGAAATAGAACGGTTAGAGATAGGGGAAGCCTGGGAAACTTTCCCATATACCCAAATAATAAGAGGTTTGTTATTAATAACCCAATCAATTCTGAGAAAAAAAATTCTATTACCTTCATTCATAATCGGGAAAAATATAGGGCGTATGCTACTATTTCAAACTCCTGAATGGTCTGAAGATTTAAAGGGATGGAATAAAGAAACGCATGTGAAGTGTACTTATAATGGTATTCCGTTAGCTGACAAAAAATTTCCGGAAAATTGGTTGACAGAAGGTATTCAAATCAAAATTTTATTTCCTTTCTGTCTAAAACCTTGGCACGAATATAAATCACTAACTTCTCGTGATGACTTTTGTTTTTTAACAGTTTGGGGAAGGGAAACAGAACACCCTTTTGGTCATCCACGACAAACACCTTCGTTTTTCGAGCCTGTTTTTAAGGAACTTTACAAATTTGTAAAAGTAAAAATCAAATTTTTAAAAAAGTTTTCAAAAAAAAAAACAAGTTCAAACGAAAAAAGAACAATACACCCGAGTTTAATAAAAAAAGAAAAAGATGATCAAATAAATAACCAGATAATGAATCAACCCTTGAGTAAAATTGAAAAAATTACAGATTGGAAAAATTATTCACCGATAGACAAAATACAGGCTATTACTCATAGGACAAATACAATTAAAAAAAAACTAGAAAGAATTACGGAAGATAAGAAAAGGCTGACTCTAGAACTAGATATGAGCCCTTACAAAAAAAGTTCGAGATTAGCCTTGTCAAAAAATTTTTGTCAAATGTTAAAAATAAAAAAAAATAGATTAAGATATAAATTTCATTATTTTATAAAATTATTGATTCAAAGAATATCTAACTATATTTTTTTATATACTATATCTATTTGCCAAATGACTGAAAAACTCTTTGTGGAATCAACAAAAATGAACTCTCTTTCAAATATAAAAACGCATAATAATAAGCGTTATAAGGAAAAGCCAGAGAATTTTGGTCGATTTATCTAACTTGTCACAAGCATATGTATTGTACAAAATATCACAAAGGAGTTTTTTGAACGTATCTAATTTGATGTCTGTTCTTCAACAAAATGGAACATCTTTCTTGATTGAAAAGAATTTCTTTATTAAAAAAAAAAATAAAAGACTCATTTCATAAACAAGGAATACTTCAATCTGAAGGAATAAAAAAAGAACTTAAGCGGTCTAGAACGAGTCAATGGAAATTTTGGTTAAGAGGGAATTCTCAATACGATTTATCTCCTAATTTCTGGTCTGCCTTAAGATCACAAAAACAAAAATGGAGAAATAGGGCGAATCGCTATCGTAGGTCTAAACAAAAAGATTTACACAAAAGGAATTCCAGTAGAAAATTAAAAATTAAATAATTACAGGAAACAAAAGGATGCTAACTCAGTATTTAATAAAAAAAAAAAAGATAATTTTAAAAAATGCTGTCAATATGATCTTTTAGCATATCAATACATTCAGTATGAAAAAAATAGTGGACCCCCTCCAGGAGCTAAACGGGAAACGATTTCTTATCATTACAAGATGTCACAAAACAACTTGTTTGCGATAACGAAAAATCTTCCTATCACTAGTTTCAGAGAAAAAATAGAAAGGGTCAATATCCCCTATACAGACAAAAAATTTAGAGAGAAAATATTTAAATTTGAAAAAGATTAATTTTTCTCTTGATAAAAAAGCGGATATTGAGTCCTGGATCACGGGTAATGATAACAATACTCAAAGTACTCCAATTTTCACTTATAATTATCAATTAATTGATAGAATGGAAGAGATTGTGAAAATTGAGCAAATTTTTAAAAATGAAAAAGATCCTTTTGCTCTTTTGATTCAGACAAATACCGAAGAAAGGAATCTAGTAAATTCTAAAAATTCTTTATTGGATTGGATGGGACTGAATGAAGCAATACTCGACCGTCCATTAACGGCTGAGGAACTTTCGGTCTTCCCAGAATTTCTGTGGTTTGTTAATATATATAAAATGAAACCATGGATTATACCAAGCCAATCACTTATTTCTAATTTGAATCTCAATGATGAAATGACGAATCAAAAGATCGGTAAAATTAAGAATAAAAACAAAGATAAAAAGGATAAAAAGAAAACTGAGGGTGAAACCAAAGGTAAAACTGAGAGTAAAAAAAAAGATAAAGCCGAGGGTCAAACCAAAGGGGAAACTAAAGGTGAAACCAAAGGTGAAACCAAAGGTGAAACCAAAGGTGAAACCAAAGGGAAAACTGAAGGTGAAACCAAAGGTGAAACTGAAGGGGAAACCCAGGGGGAAACTGAAGGGGAAACTGAAGGTGAAAAGAAAAGTCAAACTGAGATAGAACTAGAGTTATTCCTGAAAAATTATTTATTTTTTCAATTTAGAGAGGATGAGGATGTTACTTTTAATCAAGGCCTTTTCCAAGATCTCCAGATCTATTGTCTCTTGCTTAGAATGCTAAATCGAAAAAAAATGATGCTATCATGGATTCAAAGGGAAAAGTTAAATTTGGGTCTAATGCCACAGATGAATCAGGAAGAGAGTATTCAAGATTCAAAAAATTCAAAAAGAAATGTTCCAGATTCAAAACAGAGTGTTCCAGATTCAAAACAGAGTGTTCCAGATTCAAAAAATTCAAAAAGAAATGTTCGAGATTCAAAACAGAGTGTTGCGGATTCAAAAGAGAGTGTTCCAGAATTTTTAAAAAGGACGGGATTTTGGTTGACCCCCTTCCGCTGTCTATCAAACCAAACGGAGAATTTCTTATGTATCAAACCATAGTTCTTTCATTGGTTCATAAGAGTAAAGAAATTCTTAATCAAAAATACGTAAAACAACGAATAATTCGCGCTGAAGAGAACAATAATTGTGATCCGCTTCTTATTGAAAATATTTTATCATCTAGGCGTCGTAGAGAATTAAGAACTCTAATTTGTTTCAATTCAAACAAATGGAATGGCGTGGATGCAAATTCTCTAGTTTCCAACAAAAATCAAGTTTGGGAGGAAAGTAACCCTCGGCATAAGGATCCGAATAAATTGATTGAATTTTTTCTTTGGCCTAATTATCGATTGGAAGATTTAGCTTGTATGAATCGTTATTGGTTTAATACTAATAATGGGAGTCGTTTCAGTATGTTAAGGATCCATATGTATTTACCATTGAAATTTAATTGGTGGAAATTTAATTGATAGTAGTACTATCTACCCTCTAGCAGGGTAGATGGTACCAGGTTAGATGAAAAGCAATGAATGGAAATATACCTTATTTTAATTTGTATCTAACTGAATCGAGGATACCATATATTTATTTAGATCTATATAGATACTTTCTCCCTCATCCAAAGAATATTAAGTTGAAATAATTCACTTTTATTTTATTAATGAACCCGAAAAGAGAGGGTTTTCTTTTGATTTGAATTGATAGACTTAGTTAGAAGAATTCTTTTTTAGCAATAAATGTCTTTCACATCCAGTGATAACCTGTAAATCATTTTAAATGGCAGTTCCAAAAAAACGTATTTCGAAAGCCAAAAAGCGTATTCGTAAGAACATTTGGAAAAGAAAGACTATTGAGGTAAGATTAAAAGCTCTTTCATTAGCAAAATCTCTTTTAACGGGTAAGTTTACAAGTTTTTTTTACAAAAAAAATAAAAAAAACATTGGATTCATTTCTGTCAAGTTGATTTCTTGTATAATATTTCTTCTTTTTTCTTATCATTTTCTTTCTTTATTTTTCGTTAGTTCGTTTTAGTTACTAATCAATTATTTCATATCTATGAAATAAATCTATAACTTAATTATAAAAAATTATTTTAAATGCATATTATATATCAATG